TCATAGAGTTATCTGTTTTGTGTGTGTAGAGTGGATAAAACAAACCCTAGATAATCCATTGTTTAGAGTACTTGGCTCAGTTGTAACGTGAAAGTCAAAAGGCTTTGCACTAATAGTTTGGCGATGCAGAGTACAAGTAAATACCGAGGCGGGTAAATAAGCATCGTTGTTGACACAATTCATCAGTTAGCGGTTCAATGTAAATAGGCCGACTCCGTTCCCGTGGATGATTCAGTATGACCTTTGGTGATAACGTAGTACGCAAGTAAAAGCACAAGTATCATGCACATCATTACACCAAACTCAAGCGGGAAGATTGACACGAAGGAACTTCAATCGTTCGTTGAAGTTAAACATTATTAGACTTGCAAAAGTTGTGAAACAGCACACACGCATTTCAGCAACGTAGCAAATATCATAACTTTCTCAGATACTAGGGATATGCAGGCTGATTTGTGGAGTGCAATTCATACGTTGGCGAACGAGCCTCATCGACTACACCAAATGCACAGCAGAAAAATAGAGTAAAGAAAAGAAGGGGATACGCAAATTTTAGGGTGAAAAAACACATATGGTTGAAGAAAGACTCCGTGAGATATTCTCGAAGCCATTAAGTGAAAAATCTATTTCGATGTCCACGAAAATGCAGCTTAATTTTGTAGAGAGCAACCAGTCTGTGAATGAACAGATCGACTATGCAGAGGAGTTGAAAGTGTGATTTCCTCCTCTACGCACGTTTGGCAACTTACCAATGCTTTCTGAAATGTTATTAGCCGATGAACAAATATCATCTCCCCATATATTCCTAGTAACGGTATACAAATATAGATAACAAGCTTAGAGGAGAACACTCGTCCGATGATTAGTTGGGGGCGTTTAGATTATATGTCAAAAAATATAAGGCTTGAGTGAGATAAATAAGGGAAATAATTACGTGAAATTTTTTTATTTCCCTCCGAATTTCCAGTTTCATTTGCTGTGAACATTTCCTAATTTATCCAATTCTACAAAATGAACACTTGCAGCCGCAAATGCCATATGTGATTTGCGATAGAAGATATATGTATATATATTTATTACGCACTTTGACCGGTTTGTTCGGGCAAAGCCATTGTTTACCGTTAAACTTTTATGGAAATCTTCAATTCCTGACGTTACACTTCCTCGCATTCCTAGACTATGTATTCGTACACTCAGATGAATATTTCCATATAATCATGTTTGACTTGCGCCAGTTTCTCAGAATGTTATAATTCGCTCGCGTCTACTTGGTGCCCGGAAGTGTTTTTTGAGTTCACCTGCGTAACAGCTATTCGGTTTGAATGGACAAGCACTCGCAAACTCTTATGCAGGCTACTCCGTTTCGCCTAATCTTTGACAACTGAAATTATATGGGACAAACCTTAAGGCGACATAGCGGTAGAAATTGGATTTCATACGTGGCTTTCTGAAAAACCAAGATTAACTACTTTGGGTGACCGTAATTCAAACGTATCAGGAGTCAGCGACAATTATCTGCGAACGACATGCGGGCCACATTGTCTTGATAGTCGTAATTTTGAAAGCATGCTGTATGGTAATCTGTGGGATGGGCGTCAATGTGGTAATAGAGGTGCAAAACGGGTTGCCTTGAACATTTCTAGAATGCGTTCGAATCTGAATCCGTCAGAGTCAAATGGAAGTAAGCTTCTGACTGTATGATTTTCAGGAGCGTGGCTAAGAAGGAAAGACTCATTTTCAAAGATTATCGGTTAAGGTATTCCGGGATCATACAATGTAACTTTACCGATTAGCGACTGTCAGTTCAGACATCGAGATTGCTTGAGTGACGTTTCCTAAATCTCACTAACTCCTAGTTCACCATAGAGGCATCTAGGAATTATCCAGGAGAACTAGGCTGTCTTCGCTAATTACGGAGTGTGCGAAATATGAAGGAAGGCAAACGTGTGATGCGATCTGCAGAGCGAAGCTGACCAGAATGCCAACTGCGTATGTATTTTGGTCGCAGTTTTAGCAGACTTCGTTATCCGGTCGCATAGGTTCTCATGAAACCCCATTAGCTCTGGTGAGATGATCGCTGTCTTCATGCACTGAGATTACGGATAGTCTTAGCATATCCAAGATGGTGGCAAAAGCGGAGTGGTGTTTTGCGGTTCTGCACGTACAGCTCTTTTGTTTGCGCGCGTTTAAAGCAAACAACGAAATATTCGTGGCACAAAGACCCATGAAACTTCCTCAATATACTTTTCGCAAGCTAAGAAATTACACAATCTAAGCAAACATATGACATTGCACGCATTATTTACGAAACAATTCTTGGAGACAAGATTTCAACCGCATCCAATGGTCAACAATCTAAGCAAACATATGACACTGCACGCATTATTTACGAAACAATTCTTGGAGACAAGATTTCAACCGCATCCAATGGTCATCATCCGGAAGAATAACTCTAGGCACTTTTATTTTTCAACAATCTTGCACTCGAAGTGGCAAATGTTCCAATTTCATGACAATATAGGCAACCGGGAGATATCCGAATAAGCTACACAAAGAGACCTCTTATTAGTCCGGTTTACCCATGTCACTCTACATCTTGTGCAGGGATACGTAAGTTCCTATTTTTTGTCATCTATTCATTGGTAAACTTGAGAGGAGAAGAGAAAATATTTAGCCGTTAGGATTGGGTACAATACGGGCATGATAGACGACGGAAGTCACATCAAAAATACGAAATAATGCAAAGTGACTGAAAATGAGTTGGGCTCATCTGGGTGCACGCAGCATCCAAAATGACTGGCTTGCCTTAGACAATCTCTGTCACTGTGTCACGAAGCTCTCTATTATAATGCAAAACCAAAAGTTCGCTACTAAAAGACAAGATCGATGTCGTTACCGAGAACCACGTAAATAACATGAGGTTCCTGGAAATTTTTAATGGTCTTGAATCTTCAACGTGGTGCAAGATAAATTGAGCTGGTGCGTTTGTTCCTAGAGTTATCTGTTTTGTGTGTGTATAGTGGTTAACCCAAATCCTGGATGATTCGATATCCGGAACACTTAGCCTCAGGTTAAGAGGAAAACACCGTCTGGTTATGTGGAGGTGTTTAGATTGTATGTCGAAAAGAATAGGGCTCAATTATGATAAATAATTGAAATAATTAGAGATGGATTTTTATGTCACTGAAAATTTCCAGTCTCATTCGCTGTGGGCATTCCTTAATTTATCTAACTCTACAAAACAACGAATTGTAGCCGCAAATGCCATATGTGAGTTGCGATAGATGTCTATAATTTATGCGCGCTGGTTTGATCAGCCGAAGCCAATGTTTACCGCGGATAGTTTGAGTAAATCCCTAAGTCTCGCGATTACGGTTCATTTCATTCCTAGAAGCAAAGCCACTTCCAACTATGTGACAAATAAAAGCGTGTCGANTCTGAGGTTTCCAAATTGCGATATACAGCTCTAGGCATGTTTGGTAGTTTTACTGGTTTTGAAATGCTACTAGATATTCCTAGTAACAATATACACGTAAAGGTTTCAAGAATACAAGATAACACTCGTCCGATTAATCTCTGGAGGCGTTTGGAATGTATAACGAAGATTATGAGGCTCACATAAGATAAATAAGATAACTAGTTACGGAGGAATTTTTATGCCCTTGCAAATATCCATTTTCATTCTCTATGGACATTTCCTAATTTATCCAATTTCGCAAATCAAATAATTCTAGCCGCAGATGCCATATGTGAGTTGCGACAGAAGATGTCTATAATTATTACGCGCGGTTTATCAAACATTTTGACCGGTTTGATCAGTTGGAGCTATTCTTTGCCGCGATAAATTTCGGCAAATCTTCAATTCTTGCGTTTAGAGTTCGTTGCATTCCTAGAAGAATACCCACCTCCAACCATGTACGTGCGATCAGATGAATTTTTCTTTCCGATCAAGTATGATTTACGCCAGTTTATCAGAATGCAACACTTGGATTGCGGCCAAATAGTTCCCTTACAGTGGTTTTTCGTTTACCTGTGTAACAGCTATTTGGTTTGGGTGGACAAGCAAAACCTTATAATGACTACTCCCTTGTGCCTTATGCTTCACCATTGAAATTACATGGGACAAACTTGAGTCCCCTGTATTTCTGCAATATAGCGGTAGGAATTGGACTTCATTCGTTAACTACGAAATAAGCAATGCCGACTACATTGGGTGCGTTGATTCCTTTCTTTTATTTCATGTTGTAAAAGGGGTTGTCCTTCCTTTCTTGTTTTAGCCTCTATTTCACCGTTCTTGTTTTTGACCTGAACGCAAACCGTTTTTTGTACTTGTTGTTGGGCGTGCTTTTAAGTTCATACGTAGTTTCACTATATCGTAAACATATGGCTTCCAGTCGGTGTGGACTGTAAGGTTCTTTAGGAATCAGCAGTTCCTAAATCGGCATATAATCCCACGATTCGAGGTTTGTGAAGTTTTATTATTTTATTACTGTATTCGTAGTATGACATTCGTAGATGAACCTTCAGTTGAACGATTTGGCTGTCGGGGTTTTGCTCATTACCCGACGTTTTTCAGGAAGTAGCTGGATACAACCTACAGTACTCCAAACAAGCAGAGTTCAGGTTCCCGCAAGCCGAAGCTGTATTCTTATGGATCTTCTGATGATGAATCCTCAATATCTAACGACTGTGCACGTGAGTTTCCATCTAATGAAAAGGTGGAGAAATTTGTGGTAAAGGTTGACTCTGAGGATGTAGAATGCCCGCAGTCTTCTATCGGCTTAGAAGAGGCGATGCCACCGAGACTCGAACCGCGTTCATGGAATGAACGGCATACATGTTGTCCCCTATGCCACAGTGCCATGTTTCCACCTGCCAAAAATGGAGCTAGATAATTGCAGCGGGAATCCGATAGAGTTTTGCAAGTTGATGAAGGCATTCTGAATTAGCGTACTTTATCAAGTCCTTGATGATAGCACTAAATAGATGTACCTTCTCCATTACTGCTTTGAGGAAGCCAAGGAAGTCATTGAATATTGCATGTTCCTTTCTGTAAAGCGGGCCACCAATAGACCACGAATATCCTCAGGACGCAGTTCGGCAGGCCGTTCGACACATGTTCCTTTAAAGCGGGCCACCAATAGACCACGAATATCCTCAGGACGCAGTTCGGCAGGCCGTTCGACATTGCATAGTCGTTCAGGCAGGAAATACTGGTTGGAAGGCCCATTGCTCCAGGATACCTCGATGCCTTAAGAAGGTTAATAAGGAAAATACTAAACTGTGATTTGGCTTTGAGACAAATGCAGTACATGGTAGACTCAAACAGCTCAACCAGTCTGAAGGATATATCAGAAAGTCTACCTCGGTGTTTGCAACGAAGATGGGCTGAGGCGGCAGACGACATACTGCGTTCGGGATCAGAGCTGGGACTCGATCATCATCTTAACAGAAGTGTACCCGCTGCTTTAAATTCCTACGGTGTTATCGCCAGCCCAAGAAGATATGGTAATCAGATAGACAAGTTAAGCTTAGAACGTCCAACTAGAGAACCCCGTATCAGTGGTGTAGCTTTAAAAGCGAGTATGGCTTGCCTTCACTATTCCTAGACTCGCAGCCCATCAGACTGAGGAGTTTTGGCATCCTACTTCAAGTCAAAGTGCTCAGTAGTCTGAAAGGCCTCAAGTTATGCTTCAATTGCCTAGAGCCTAACCATAGGGCATTTAGTGTCTCGTTCCTACACGTTGCGACGTCTCGAATTGCAACCGTCGGCTTCACAACACACAACGGATGGTTATTAAGCCAACGAAAAATGCCAAATTCAACTCAACGGTAGCTGAGGAGGTTCGTAGCTGTTCGGCTGATTGGGCCAAGGGGCTCGTGCTCCGTTAGACAATAGTTCTATTATTACCGTTCCAACGGCGCACGTGGCAACGCAACTTGGGATGGAAGGAGAAGCGACACATGTAGAAGTGTCATCGGTAAATGGCCCTGACATCAAGGACACAATGACAGTCAGCTTTGCCATAGAGTTTGTATGACAGGTATGTTGTGGACGTCAACTCTGTCAACACTACCGGGTCACTTCTGATCACCAAGGCTCCAATGGCGGAGAATTTGTTGCTGAGCAAAAGAAACACCCCCTTTGTGTATGATCAACCTGCACAAATTCCTGCGAATGACGTCTCAAGTTTGATAGGAACTAATGTTCCAATGGCCCAATGGGTTTATCTGGCAACCCTAAAAACCCAACACAAATCTGGCGGCCTTGGGATGGGCAATTTTCGGGCCAGCCCCTTCCTGCAGGACCCAAACGGATACCAGCAAATTTTCCCAATACGAAACCCAGTGTTTAGAATTACATACTGAGGATATTTGAGCTGGATTTCAACGAAGGTAAGGGTACAGATAAAACCATTATCCCTGGAGAACAAGGAAATTATGAAAGACACAAATCTGTCTGTAAGCTTTTTGGTTGGCAATTATCAGGTGCCGCTTCCTTGGAAGATTAACTGGGAGCACCTACTTAGTAACTCAGTTATAGCGAAGGAAAGCCTCCGTTATTTGAAACGTCGCTTGTTGGAGGATGATTGCCTTCTTAACTTACTTACGAAAGAAAAGGGTATGTGAGTTAGTTGCTAGTTGGTTCGACAAAAGTCTTGCGCTCCATCCCGCATCATCCAGTCTTCAACCACCGAACGCCTGGTTAGTGCGGTATACTTTCCGACTGCACTGCGGAAGGCCATGGTGTTTCACTCAACGACTGCTTTTTTCAAAACCTGACCTTACGAATGACAACATCGGCGTTTAACTGCGTTTCCGACTCCATGAAACTGCTTTGCCTGCTGATATGGTAATATTTTTACAAGTACGCTTGCCACCGGATGATAGGGCAGCGCTCAGTTTTCTACGGTACACTGACGGAAATCTGACTAAATCTTCAGACGTCCTTCACTTTGACGTACAACCGTTTGGAACCATCTCCTCCCCGATTTGCACTGCCTTTCCTCAGCGTAGGGTTGCTGATGACAACAGAAATGATTTCGACGAAAGGACAGTTTCTGCAGCAAAGGAAAACTTTTATGTGGATGATTGTCTTGTGTTTGTGGGATATATAGCTAAATGGCTAGGTAGTGAATTCAGTTCGATGTTGAACGTGGGCATATTTCGTTTACCTAAGTGTGTATGCAACTATCCGAAAGTCTTCAGTGTCATCCTCATTGGCGAGCGAGCTTCCGAGCCAGTTGATTTCACAATTTCAGATTCCAGTTTGCACAATACACCAGGCCTGTGTTGTTCTACCAAAACTGGTTGCCTCGGATTCCAGGTCAACTTGCCAGCGCCCACAGTGACCAAACGCGGTATACTGTCTTGCGTAGACTCACTTTACGACCCCGTCCGATTCGTGGCTCCAATTCTACTCTAATCCAAATGACCGTTACTGCGACTCTGTGAGAAGCAATTTGGTTGGTACAAACGCATTAATACGGCCAATGTGACAGTGTCGACAACGAGACCATCTACCAGACACAAAGATTTGAGGCGTTGAAAATCCCTTGATGCCTCATGCTTACTGGATTTGATGTACGTTACGCCAAGATGCATATCGTCTCGAGGGAGTTTAGTTTGAAAATAGATAGTATATACTTGATCGTACATCATTACATCAGCAACAGAAAGTCCAAATATAAGAATCGTCGCTAATAGACCGGGATTCATTCACGAGAATACCGAAGTATCGCAGTGGAGAAATGTGCCAACGCAAGACATTCAAGCGTCATTCAAGAGTCGCTGGTAGCCGGGTGGTTGTTCTGGGCATTTAGTTGCGTGGTCCTGCCTTTCCACAGAGCTCAGAGTAGATGTGGCGAAAGTGAAGGGGAAATGCCTTACCGAATAAATACCGGGCATCAGATTTAGCGTCCAACGTTCTAAACATGAACGTCCCAGGAGAGTTGACGTTTGACAAACCTTTTTCTTACTATTCTTTGTGGACTGGATTGAAACAAGCCATTACATGGAGGACGGGATTCAAAGTGTATTTTCGCATCACACCAAATAGAGAAGAGCAGTGTGTGCTCTCATTTAGCTCTATGCGGCTTGACGAACTTAAATCGGAATAATACTGACTATTGCAGTACAGCAACGTCACGCATTTCAGCATGTATATAATTCTCTAAAAGGAAAATCACGTCCTGTTGAGACCCTGAATGTTGACTCGTTCAAGTCGTTGCGTAATATCTCTCCAATTCTCCTTGAAATACTGGTATGTGTCGGAAGAAGGCTGAAGAATAGTGTTTTGTTTGAATCCCGACAGCATCCTATCATACTTCTAAGACAACATCCCGCGACACATTGCTTGTTTAGACACTACCAGGAGTTCGAAGGACATTTGAGCACATTGCATGTCCTAGCTGTCATCCTCCAGAAACTTTGGGATATCAAGGGGGCAGCCGCTGTCAATAGGCTTGTGCGCAGGTGTCTGTCATGTAAGGCAAGGCCGATGAAGCCAGCGGAACAGCTGACGGCACCATTACTACCCTGCAGAGTCGAAACCGATTACTACTTTGCCGCCACTTGTGTGGACTATTTCGGTCTATTTTTGTGCGTGACGGACGACGGTTGAGGAAGCGATGCAGGTTTATCTTCTCATGTTTCAAGACGCGTGCGCTGTGCGTTGAGGTAGCTCATTCCGCATCGACTGACCCTTTTCGTATGGCACTTTCTTGCTTTATAAACCGCCATGGTTCACCAAAGGAAATTCTCAGTGACAGAGGAATTAACTTCGTTGAAGCCACACTGGAAGTGAAAATCGCTAGACTGCGATCTCGTTAATTAGAAAGTAATAGGCCATGGTATTGCAAGACACTCCAATCCAAACTATAGCGGTCACCGTGGAGGAGTATGGGAGCGTCAGATAAGATCTATCCACCGAGTACTGAGTGCAGTCTCCCTCGGACAGGTGTTGAGTGACGGAAATTTATCTAACTCATGTGGAGCCTAATTTTTATATAATCGTCCATTTGTGCCTGTCTACAATGATTCAGACTTAGACATGCTGAAACCAAGTCACTTGTTATTGTTGCGAGAACAAACTGAACTCTCAGGTGATATGGTCAATATACGCGACATATATACCCGCTGTTGGAGACAAGGGCAAGTTTTGGATGATACGTTTTAGAGGCGATGGTTGAAGGAACACATTCCGCTTTTACAGTTACGACACAAGTGGATGCGCAAACGTCGAGGTTTTCGAGTCGGAGAGTGTGTATTATTCCGTAGCGAAATTCTAAGTCGCGGAAGTTGAGAGAAAGGTGCCATAGTGGAGGCTAAGTCCCGAAGTGATGGCCATATTTGGTAAGCATTAGAAAGGATTCCCTCGAGTATGGTTATGCGTAGGAAAGGAGTAGAAAGGAGTAAAAGAAAGCAAGTTGCTTACCCAAACTACGTGCGTGCTGCAGATTCCTGGAAGCGTTTGTGGCTAGAGCAATGGTACCATCCTCGTCAATCTCTTTCTTGAGTTCGGGGGATTGAGCTGGTAGGCTAAGAAAGACCATCCTGAATTTGTTGAATCTTTTCTTCTATTTTCATGAGACTCCTCCTCTTTTGTTATTTTGATTTGCGCCTATCCCACCCTAATTGTTTTCAACCTGAGCGTAAACCGTCCTCTGAACTTGACATCGAGAGTGTTTTTTAAGTTCACACGTGGTTTCGCTATATTGTAAAACACGTGGCTTCTATTTAGTGTGACATGCAACATCCCTCGGGAATTATCTTTTCCTAAACCGGCGTATTGGGGCCGGCATAGTCCTAGGATTGCGAAATTTCATCATTATACCACTGCATTTGTAGTGGTACATTGGTAGATGAACCTTCATTCGAACGATTTGACTATTGGGGTTTTGTGCTTGACTCGACGTGGTCAAACACAAAGCACTTCATAGAGTGACCGTAGTCCAAAAGTATCGATAAGTTAAAGGCCACCCACTGCGAAATACAAGCGGGCCACGTTATTCTGATTGTCGTAATTTAACAGGCACGTGGATGTATAAGGTGAAAATAAAAGCATGCTTTATGGAAATATCTGGGATGTGCGTCCACGTGGTAATAAATGTGAAAAACAGATTGACCTAAATATTGCTCAGATGCACATAAATCTGAAGTTTACAAAAACTGTGGTTTAACGCTTTACGTACGTTTGACAACTTTCACATCCTCTTGGAAATTCCATTAACTGATGAACAAATATCATCACCCCAGATATTCCTAGTAACATTATACACATAGAGTCTACGAGCTTACAGAACAACACTCGATCGATTATTTCCCGGAGGTGCTTGGACAGTATGTCGAAAAATATGGGACTCATAAAATGAATGAATAAATGTGAAGGAATTTCATTGTTCTTGAGAATTTCCAGTTTTATTTACTGTGGACATTTCTCAATTCATCTAATTTTACGAAACAAATAATTCTAGCCGCAAATGCCATATGTGAGTTGAGATAGAGGATTTCTATTATTATTTTGCGTTGTTTATTTAACACTTTGACCGGCATGATCAACCGAAGTCATTGTTTGCCAGGATAAGGTTCAGCAAATATTCACTTCTTGTGGTTCCAATTCATTGCACTACTAGAAACAAATAAGCTTACAACTGTGGACGTAAACCTGGCTTAACCTTGCCGTTCGGCGTGTATTTCAAGTTCATGAGTGGATTCGTTATCGTGTAAACATGCGGCTTTTAGTCGGTGTGTACTTCAAGATGCGTTGTGAATTAGCAGTCCTTAGACCGGTGTACAGCAGCCAAGATATTTCTCCAATTTGAACGATTTTTTATTGAGGTATTGTGCATATTTCAAATTGGTCAAACAGGAAGGCAATTTATAGAGTGTCCGGAGTCCAAACGTATCGAGAGCTTAAAAACCGCCATCTGTGCACTATATGCCAGCCAAGCTTTCTTGATAGTTTTTACTTTGCGGGCACCGTTACACATCACATGAAAATGGAAGAATGATATATGGAAATATGTGGGATGGGCGCAAATGTGGTAATAACGGCGTGGAATACGTTGCCTTAAATACTTCTGAAGTGCCGCTGAATGTGAACCCATAAAAGTCAAATGGATGTATGCTTCTGGCAGTATGATTCTCAGAAGTTTGATTGAGGAGCAGGGACTCAATTTCAAAGGTTATCGGTTACAGGTGTTTCTTGATTATACACTGTAACTTTGCATATTAGCGACTGTTGGTTTAGACATGGAGATTATTTGGGTAATAGTCACCAAATATTACTAACATTTAGTTCACTCTAGAGATATTTATGGTCTATCCAGTGGGGCTCAGCTGGCTTGCTAATTGCGGAGTGCGCGAAATATGAAGGAAGGGAGAATTGCAGTGCGATCCGCACAGCGAAACTAACCAGAACGGCAACTGCGCATGTGTAATGGCCGTAGTTTTAGCAGCCTCCGTTCTCCGGTCACTTTGGTTCTCATGAAGAACTATTATCTCTGGTTAGATGGTCGCTGTCTTCGTGCAATAAGGTTACGGATATTTGCTACCAGCTAAGAGGGTGGTAAATGCGGAATAGTGCTATGCGGTTCTCCCCATACGGCTCTTTCGGTAACGCACTTTTGAAGCAAACAAACATAATTACTCGTGGTACAAATGTTCCAAGTACATGACAATAATAACAACCGGAAGATTTCCGAATGACCAATACACCGGGACCTCTTATTTGTCGGAATTCCCCACGCCATTCTACACCTCGTGCAGGGATACGTAATTTTCTTTTCTTTGTCATCCATTTATTTTTAAACTCCAGATAAAACATGTATTGAAGTGAAGATACTTAGCCGTTGGGATTGGGCACACTGCGGACATGACAAACGATGGAAGTGTTCTTGCTTGAGTCAACACGCCAACTCCGCTCTTGTCGAACTCATGTCCTTCCTGACTTTTAGTTCACTATAGACATTGAGGGTTAATCCCGGGGAACTAGGCTGAGTTTTCTACTTACGGGGTGCGCGACATATGAACGAAGCCAAACGTGTGATGCGATCTGCAGAGTGAAACTGAGCAGATTGGTAATTGCGTGTGTTTTGGCCGTAGTTTTAACAGACGTTGTTATCCGGTCGCCTTGGTTAAAAAAACAGCTGGCCCGATGGCCGCCGTCATCGTGTAATAACGTCAGGGATAGTCGTAAATTGTCTAAAAAAGTGGAAAAACTTGCTTTTGTGTTCTGAGTTTTTCCACAAAACAGCTCTTCTGGTTACGCGCTTTTAAAGCAAAAAAGAAACAGTCGTGGTACAAAAACCCATGAAAAGTTCCAAATGAATGAAGCCACAATAAGATACGTTTGGCAAGCTAATAAATTGCATAATCTAAGCAAACAGATGACACTGCAAGCATGATTTTGGGAAACCATTCTTAAAGACAAGACGTTAACCGCTTTCGGTTGTCCTTGTTCGGGAAAATAACTGTATTTAGTTTAATTTTTCAGCACTCGACTTAACAAATGTTTCAATGTTGACAATAATGGCAACCAGATTTCCAAATAAGCTGTACAAAAAGGCCTCTTATCAGTCCAACTGTCCCACGCCATTCTGCATCTTGTGCAGGGATCTTGTCTTTGTCATCTAATTATTGGTGAACTCGAGATAAAACATCAATTGAAGAGGATATATTTGGCCGTTAGAATTGGGTACGATGCGGGCATGACAAACGACGGAATTCACTTCACAAAATACGAAATCATGCAAAGGGGCTGCAAATGAGTTGGATTTACCTAGGTACTCACTGCATCCAAAATAACGGTCTTGTCTGAGACAATCTCTGTCACCGTGTCAAGAAGGGAATTTAATTAATCTTCGAATTTAAACATTATTAGACTTGCGAAAATTATGCGGAACAGCAACTGGTATGCAGCACACACGTATTTCAAATATATAGCTAATGTCATAACTATCAGGGATGCCGGGGATATTCAAGCTGATTTGTGGAGTGCAATTCGTACGTTGGCCAACGAGCCTTATCGACTACACGAAATGCACAGCCAAAAAATGGAGTAAAGAAAAAAGAGAGTACGCACATTTCACAGTGAAAAACACACACGTGGTTGACGAAAGACTCCGTGCAATATTCTCTAAGCCATTAAGTGAAAAATCTATTCCGATCTCCACGAAAACGCAGCAGTCCGCGGATGAACAGATCGATTATGCCGACTATGCAAGGAAGCCAAAAGGTGATTTCCTCCTCTGGGCATGTTTGAAAACTTTCCCATTTGTTTTGAAACGCTATATGCCGATGAACATATATCATCTCCCTAGGTATTCCTAGTATCGGTATATACAAGGAGGTTACAAGTTTACAGGGGAACACTTGTCCGATTATTTTTTGGAGGCGTTTAGATTATCTGTCGAAAAATACAAGACTCGAATGAGATAAATTAAAGACATTACTACGGTGGGGGGTATATATTTGCAAGTTTCCACTTTCGTTTCCTGCGGATATTCTCTAATTTATCCAATTCCTCAAAATAAATGATTCTAGCCACAAATGCCATATGTGAGTTGCGACAGATGTCTTCAATGATTGCGCGCAGTTTATTCAACAATTTGACCGGTTTGATCATCCGCGATTAGTTTTCGCAAATCTGAAGATATTTATCTTCAATACTTGCGGTTCGAACTCATTATATTCCTAGAAGCAAACCCACTTTTAGTCATACATGCGTAGACCCAGATGCATTTTTCTGTCCGACTAAATTCGTCTTCCCCAGTTTATCGGAATGAAGCACTTGGTTTCGCCAACTATGTGCCCGACAGTGGTTGTCGAATTCCCCTGCGTAACAGCTATTTGATTTGGATGGAAACCTTATGTAGACTACACCTGTTTGCATAATTCTTGACCGTTCGAATTACGTGACAAAACTGTAGACCCCTTATATATATATATATTTATATATACGTGTCCTGCACCTAACTAACCCTGACAAGTGCGAGTAGGCTCCCAAGATGTCTTGGTGTTCGCCGTCGAAATTATTATGGCATTTGGGGTTTCGGAATACATACCTTCTTCGTGTCCGGTATGAAAACTAGACACTCAAAGTTGTCTTTCATCCTGGTAGGCTATCTATAATGTTTACATTCTTGGTTGATTCTAGGATCACAGTTAATGTAGATTTCATGCGTTTTCCAACTAGTTTTTTGATACACAGATTGCAAATATTGAACAAAGGCGGATGCCACTAGAGAATCGGTGATAGTTCCCGCGCGCTGTCTTTTGATGTTGGGTGCTCTTATGTACTGTGACAGAATAAACTTGCAGTAACTTTTGTCTAGTTTGGTGACATTTCTTCGCGAAAGCCGAGTATGACCTTCGTGCATGTGTTCAACTTTGGCAATATCGTTGTAAGGTTTCAGCCACAAAAAGGAGATCAAATCAACATATGGTTCATAATAAAACTGCATTGTTTTTATCGGCGATCGCCTTGACGCGATTTGCTTCGGAAGCTGAGCTTTTGTTCCGTTTGGTGACATTTTTTC